TGAACATACACTGAAAGAATAAATTTGATCTATGATGCAATGTATATACAAAGTTAATAAAAATAAGGGATGAATAATAAAGTAAAAGTATTATACCGCTGTGAAATGTTAAACAATTTCAGAAAAAACATCAGCTTTGAAAAAAAATACGCCATTTGTAATATCAAAATTAAACACAGGTAAATGAAAATAATTTTGTAGATAAGTATACTTCTTCTACTGTCTGTTTAACCTTACGTTTAGGAACACCAAGAAATTTCTTGTATAACAATTAAACTATTCTAAAACTTGGTAAATGTGGGGTGAATATCAACAATTAAACTATAAAATTGGTGCTCGATAAAACTTCGTGTTCTTCATGTACAGGTGCCGGAAGTGTGATGTATATACAGTATAAAAGGAGAAAGGAAATAATTTTGATGTTCATAGTACGAAGAAGTGACAATTTATAGTAATTCGAAACACTTATCAAAGCTGGTATATAGGCCAGATATAATAGATATAGGAAGATGTGGTATGAGTGCCAATGAGGCAACTCTCCATCCAAGTTACAACTTATAAAAGTAAACCATTATAGGTCAAGGTACGGCTAACACATAAGTTAACATTAAATAACAAAAAAGCATTACAAATAGTATCAACAGGTTAAATTAACAAGTAAGTACGATTTGAGAGTACTCGCAGTTACTGACAGCTAGTTAAAAGCCAAAACAATTAATAATAAAAAATCACGCACCAGAGACTAAAATCAACTAAAACACATCCCAGGGATTTAGTATTTTAACGTCATGGACAGTCAAAGAAGACATGACTAGTGCAATGCCAAAAATAAATGTATCGACTGGCAGTAGGATAGTTAGGAGTTAACCTCTTTATAGATAAAAATGAACCTGTGTATTCCTGATTATGAATTATTCTACAACATGCATTTATCCTAAAGCAACAACTATTATACAACTCACCTATACCAATGGGGATCGTCTAGTTCCTAGCAGATTCCTTTAATCGTACCTTTCCTGACGACACCCATCGTTGTCGCGTCTACCATTCGAGGCAGCGAAATGACATTATTTGACCGGAGAGCGAAATAAACAAGGGAAGCAATTTTAGCGGACCGCATTCCGGACTGATAAGACATGTCCTAAGATATATCTTATGACAGGTCTTAGGATAGCTTCGTGAAACCGGCCCCAGTATAACAGTTCATGCATTATATATGTAGTGTTCATATTTTAATTATGCGCTTCTCTTTTGTAGATTTTATGTTATTTGAATGAACTGATGCCATTTGTGGTGAAAACTATTGAGGACATTTGTCTTTTGTTTTATGTGTTTAATAAATTTCGAAGATGGTCACCGCACCTGACAGTCTCTATAATGGTGTTTGTCTTTATTAATACAGAAATAATTTCATTGCATACGTGTAATTTTTGGTGGTTGGTATTAGGGTGTCGTCAGAAAATAAGGAGCCAAGAGTACATAAATGATTTGTTTTCGGTTGAACAGAGTGAATTGAGAAAATATTGAAAATTATATGTCCAGTTTTGATACAAAAAAATGTAGATGGCTATATTTTTTATATCAAGGTTCAATGCTATATTCCTAAATACCATATATACCTACATTCTACGAGTTTTTGTCAGAACTATACTGTACTATTTTTATACTCCCATTCATATAATTTTGTATCATTTCGCATGAATGAACAATGGAAATTACTTTGATGTTCAATTTTCATGATGATTATTTTGTAAAGAGCAGTTTGATAATTTTTAATTTTTGACTTTTTGGGATGAAAGCATCATTGTCACCACTTAAAAGAAATTGTCTCTGTTGAACCCCTGGATTAATTGCAAGGCTATGCTTAAAATATCTATGGGTTTTCTCAATTTTTTTTAAATAAAAGCGAAAAATTATGAATACTAGTATACAGGTGGTGCGTTTTTTTTATGTTGAGTATATGATAATATTTTCCAATTCAACCATCCAGTATGATCAAGGACTTTTAATAAATCACTAGACTGAAAACGATAACAACAAATGTAAACAAAGTGTAATTGTTTTCCAAATTTATTGTAATTTATTGTTTTTGAAATGGCCATGGACGTGTCGATTTATCTGTAATTTAATTTTCCAAAATTTATCAAAATCCTTCGAAAGATGTGGTTAACATTTTTAAGTAACGTTTTATTTTTAATGCTTTTCATTGTTTGTAAGATATTTGGCTATCATAATATTTGATATGATTCTAACTGTTAAGTTGTTTGTAGATATATGTACCATCTACAGTCAAGAACCAGTTGTTTAGTTGTTGTCGTTTTTCTAAGTGTTTCACGTTTCTCGTTTTTTTATATAGATTAGACCGTTGGTTTATCTGTTTGAATGGTTTTACACTCATTTTATTTAGGACCCCTTGTAGCTTTCTGTTCGGTTTGAGCCAAGGCTCAATGTTGAAGATCGTACTTTAACCTATAATGGTTTTTTTAAAAATTGTTACTTGGATGGAGATATGTCTCATTGACACTCATACCACATCTTCTTGTATCTTTTTATGAAATCCTATCTTGTATCTTCGATATTTTTATGATCTTGACGAGGAATAATAGAAAGGACAATACTGTTCCCATTTTTAGATTAAACTTGCACTATAAACCCATTTATACATATAAATCATATTCGTGTCTTGAAAATCTAGAGATTAAAATTGAGTCGGCTGAGAAATCATATGTAAGACACTAGTGATCACTTTCATTTTCGTATACAGAATTTTCCATTTTATTCATCGGCATTCAATCATCACTGGTGTGTAGAATATACAACGTACGTCTTCAAATTGACGATATTCCATAGCTCCTGTTTCCGATAATGTTTTTTTTTTGAAGATAACATCGTACAAGGATGCAGTTAAAACAAGGTTTCTTGTTGCAAAAGTTGAAAAACACCATTTTAAAAAGATTTAATGACAGATTAATGATTTGGCTAACCATAATGGATTTTTGGTTGCATATGACTACATTAAGATATTTTCAATACGTTGTAGAAACAACCCTATCCTTTAGTCTTATGTTGAAGATCACAGAATGCGGCATCATATTGGTGTTTTTTTGGTATAAATAATATGTTTTTTAGATGATAAGAAAGCGCCTTACCTTACAATCCATAATGGTTTAAAATGTGACGGTGGTGCATTTGTAAGACATAATAGTGTCCTGTGGAAAGGTGTCCACCTGGACAGTTTTTCATAGAATTTTGGTATTTAATAATGTCCATTGCCATGAAATATTGTCCCTCAAGTGGACAGACTTTTACTGCAAAAGCTATGAAAATACGTCCAGTGATAACACAGCAATGGATATCATTAAATACTTTAATCATATCAAAAAAAGTCCTGGCGGACATAATTTCTGTAAACCTGGACAGAATTATAGTATTAAATAATGTCCATGTTCATTTTCATACCTGAAGACATATATTCATAGGAAATTGTGTCCGGGACACATTTAAATGACTAAATATTGTCCATGGACAGTATTTACTATGAAATAATGTCCGGTGGACATTATTTCATGTGGGACATTATTAAATCCTACACATTTGCTTCAGCTTTCTGTATTTTACTTTAGTCCAATTATTTTCTTCATTGTCTGTGTTGTGCCTATTTTAGTTAGTGTCTTGTTCATCTTTTTGTTATGAGAAATTATTACTAGTATTCCTTTCAAAATCTCACATTCGGTTATGTTTTCATTTAATAATGATTTATGGATTTGGTAATTCACTAAGACCATCTGTGTACGATTTACCAATAATCACTAGCCTGATCAACCATGATATTTATAAAATTTAGACTTAAGCAGCTAGACGAGAATCAATAGTGAACCTTTTGTTCGTGAGGATTCATCCTGTTTTCGGGAATTGTTTTCAGTTTACTTTTAATTTTCTTTGATCTTCTGTCTGTTGGATGTGGTACTAGTATTGTTAATTTTCAACAGACGACAGCAACCACAAACAATCGATTCAACCGAAAATTAGATGTAAAAATGCCCTGCCATGTCCGATCTGTGTTTTTGTTAGATGTTTGTTCTGTTTTGTATCGATCTGCTGAGTTAAGATATTTTCAACTGATTTTTTATAGTTTGATTTTATGTTGTGCCGTAAAACCACTGTCCCACTCTAGAGGAGGATTGAGCCCCTACAAACATGTTTTTCCTCTTAACACTCTTCATGTGCCTGTTTCAAGTCAGGCGCCTGTGGTTCAGTGTTTGTCGTTGGTTCATGTCTGTATTATTTGTATTTCTTAAATTCTTCAGTTATCAATTAGAACGTTAGCTTTCTAATTTTAAAATGTTGTCACATATTTTTTATCATTGTTGAGGGCCTTACGGTTGCCTATTATTGCTTATAGCATCTTCATTTGAACTTGGGTGGATGATTATCTTATTGGCAATCATACCATGTCTTTTTATGTATATATTTCCTTTTTTAGGTTTTGTAACAAAGAAAATCGATTTACAACACATTACCCAGACAGTCTGACTTTAATTACATCTTAATAAAGTAGGTCACTGTGACATATTGATCATGGTTGCGTTTTTGGAATGCTCGATGATGGAAATCAAATACATTAATTTACTTATCAAATAATACATTAAAGGGATGACACATTTTGTCAAAAATATATTAGACAGCAGAACAGATCACAGCCACAACCAAAACCTGACTCTATCTAAAAACAGACTTGCATTTCCTTTTTTATGTATCACTATAAATAAAATCAATCTACAACACGTGGTTTAAATAGCTGTACAATCACTAAACGAAGTTGGAGCTAAAGTCCAACACCAAGAATGAAGTAATGGGAACTAATATGAACTCAGATATGTTCTACTGCTTGTACAAACGAGCATGTTGTAAGTCTAAATTGGTAGAGAAGACGGTTTATGCTAAGGTCAAAGTGGTCTTATTTTACTAAAGTCGTATTTTAACGGGTTCCATAAACCATGTTCTTGACATCTTTTTTTATTACATTAACAAATAAATTTAAGAAAAATAACCCTGCGATAACAATAGCATAATTATGCTTATAACATTTATCAATATCACAGTCAATTGAACCCTCATACTAAAAATATAAATATAAATACTGGTATAAGTTATGTACAATGTTACATGATCGTATGCTATATTCTATTCGTATACAATAAACTATATTGTATATCCAGAATGCATTCATGATATGCAGCAAACTTCCAATTATATATCTAAATACAAACAATCAGGATTCTACTTCGTCAAAATTATCTCCTACCTACGCCCGCTAATTATTTTCAATCCTAAAAAAGTAGGGAGGCCACTGTTCTAAATCCCACATGTTAAGATAGTAGGTAAGATAAATTAGTTACAAAGTTTACCATATATATCGGTTTAGGTCACTAGCACATCATGTAACTAATTATATCTTGTTCAATATATCCTTATCTTTTTTGGAGTATGACGAAACAAATAGTGGGTTATATATAAAAGATAAATGTATATCCTTAAGTAAATTAAAAATAAAATCTGTTATTTTCCACCATATATAGTCGATTATAAGAAAAATATCTTTCTTAAACCAAAATTAACAACCAAAATTATTCATACATGGGGCTTTCGATTCACCTTATTTAAAACTATTTTACATATGTTCAATCTAGCAGATTGTGTTCTTGAAATAGCTATAGGTTTAACGTCTCATTCTTATATATTGTGACATGCATTACTATTAACATTTTCTTTTTCAAACCCAAAACCTGTAAGAAGAATATTGGCATACCTATATCAGTATAAGAGTACTGAAACAAACTTGTACATAAAAATCAATATTGTGTACATCATATAATGTCCTTACTTATAATTAACATTCCCAAAATAGTTATATCCAGATCTACAATTTGTTTTGTCATATGGGAAACCAGTGATAAGCTAGCTGATAATTCTGCTTATTTAACTTTGAATTTTTCTGATAAAGGTAGGTTTTGAATAAGCAACACCCAGACAATTACCTTCTTTTTCTTGGAAGACATGAAATATATTCATTGAAAAACACATGAATATAATTTACATTGATTTACTCTACCCCCTCCCCATTTCCCCAAATGCAAAATATATCATTTTGAACAAAAAATCACGTTTAATGTCACTAATGTTTATCTTTTTTGGAATTACGCCTCCTCCTTTTTCTAGAAACCTGGTTCCACTCCTGCACATTTTTCTCTTCAATCGGTAACAGCTTTTTAGGTAACAACATTTCAGTCAATTTCATATCCCCGATCTTCATAGATAAAGACAATGGTGTTCTGTCTCTCTTATCAGCCTTGTTGATATCGGCCCCATTTTCAATAAGCAGCTGCATGATTTTATAGTGATTTTCGGAAGGATGTTTAAATTCTAATTCACAATGAATACCATTTGTTAATAGTTGATACGGATAATCTTCATGTAGATAATCGAATAAATGAAAGTTTTGCATGTGACGATATAAATAGTATTTCTCATGATTATCCTCAATATTTTGTAATACGTATTCCCTATGATTATCCTCAATATTTTGCAAAACACACGCTATGAGAGGTGTAGAGCCGTACGAGTCAGAGGCATTTATATCAACCCCTTTATCAATTAGTATTTTAACAATTTTGTCGTTTCCGTCACTACTCGCTTTATGTAGCAAAGTCCGGCCAAAATTACCAACTGAATCAACAGAAGCACCTCTATTTATTAAAAGTTGTACTATATCATGATTGCCACACACATATGCAGCATGAAGGCATGTTATTTCGTCTGAAATATCTGTTTTTTGAACTTTTGTATCAACAACAGATCCTTGATCTATCAGGAATTTTACTAAGGTAGAGTATCCACCTTTACACGCACCATATAAAGCTGTCTGACCATACCGGGTAATTGAATTAACATTCGCTCCTTTTTGTAAAAGAAATTGAACAGTGTCCAAACAACCTTCTCTGCATGCGTCGTATAACGCTTTGTTTAAATTGGCTCCTCTCTCTATAAGCAAATCAACTATTTCATAATATTTTCTTTGACAAGCTGCAAACAATGGAGTATAACCGTATCGAATAGTCGTGGATAAGGAGACATCACTCTTAGTTCTCCATTCTTCGAAAGTCAGGTTTACATTTACGCCATGTCTTAAAAGGAATTTGACTACTTCCGTATGTCCCCTCCTTATTGCTAAACACAAGGGGGTTTGTTCAAACCAAATAGATACACATTGATCTCTCGGTTGGAAGAAAATATCAATCTGCATTTCTTGGAGCATTCCACGAAAGTGCGGTTCTATGATTCCAAACATACATGCATGAAACAGGTCTTCATACTGCTGCAATTTCCAACTACTTTCAGTTTCAGTATCATGATCATATCTTTTTCGAATACGATCATTTTTAAACTTGCCATCAACTTCTCTGTCTGAATTATATATTATTCCGATACTTTTGTTTAAAAAGAAATTATCTCTTATAAACGCGGTGCTGCAGATTGCATTTTGTAGATTCTCCGATAGCATATCATTTCCGCCAATGTCTGCTAATATCACAGGAGTGTATCCATATTTATATGTGTCCTTGATATTTGCCCCATATTTACGGAGTATCTCAACATTTTCATATATACCTAACTTATACGCATGATATAACATAGTTTCATTAAAGTGTGATAATTTATCTGTGTAACCGTTGGATACAAGCAATTTTGACATTTCCCTATTTTCACTCTCAAAAACGGATATAATAAATGTTTTTGTGTCCTCCTCTGATATCGTTATAGGACAACTTTTTTGAACTAAATATTTTGATAAATTATAAAACCCGTTATATATTGACACAAAAAGCGCATATCTTCCATTTTTGTCAGGTATGCCAAGATCTAAACCCTTATCTATTAGAAACTGGAGTAATTCAACGCTATCTGTATTGCAGGCAACGTGTATCAATGTCCTCCCATTTACATCTATTTCTGTAAAATCTGCACCTTTTTCTGACAAAATTTTGATTGCCTTAATTGAACCATGTTCACATGCCAGTTTTATGAGCGATTTCCCATCATCACTTTTATAACCTATATCTCCCCCTTTATATAAAAGAATTTTAACCGCTCTATCATAATCTTTTTGAACAGCACAAACTAGCGCTTGATTAATATGTGCTCTCTCGTCTAGTAACGTTTGTATTAGGAAACCATGACCATGTTGACAAGCGGCAATCAAGGGCATTTCACCGGAGATCGTTTGCATGTTTACAGCTGCCCCATATCTAATAAGCCATTGGAAAGTTTCTATGTCTCCAAGTACACATGCCTCATATAAAGGAGTCCATCCATCCGCTACAGAATTGCTTGTACATGCCGTGATTTGAATCTTACATTTATCGTTTTTGCTTACTGCCATACTTGAAACTTGATTTGGTCCTACTTCATTTTCCCCTAAAGCTTTCAAAATGCTTTCATTAACAATGTTACCCTCTGTTTTCGCCAAATGAACAGGTGTGTGCACGTCTTTATTTGTATTTGTAGTATCTGCACCATTATCCAATAGAGTTAGTATTACGTCTACGGAACCTTTCCTACAGGATTTGTGCAAAGGTGTTTCTAAATCTACATCACGCATGTTAACGTCTGCATTTTTGTTAATCAACATTCTGACTATATCATTGTTCCCAACGCAACAGGCGGCATGAAGTGGCGTTCTACCATCACCATCGACTTTATAAATGTCAGCATTATTATCAATAAGCAACTTTGTTATCGTAGTATTGCCTATTTCGCAGGCAATGAATAAAGCGGTTTTACTTTTTATATCGACACTATTTAAACAATATCCGTTTGAAATAAGTTTTTCAACTATTTTATCATGGTTGCCATGGATTGCAACGTTGAGTGAATCGCTGCTTTCGTTAACATTTGCTCCTTTATCGATCAAAAGTTGTACTATGCTTTCATGACCACTCAAACAACAAACGTACAAGGGTTTGCGATGATATCTATTTCTTTTGTTGATATCAGCATGTTTCTCTATTAGCAGTTTAGCTAAACTGTAATGCCCACCAAAACATGCAGTATAAATTGGTGTCTCGCCATTTTTATTAGTTTGGTTTATGTTCGATCCTTTATGCAGTAGGATTTCGACCATGCGTAAGTGTCCTTCTCGACACGCAGCTGTCAATGGTGTGAACCATCCATTTTGTGCATTAACATCAGCCCCCACAGAAATAAAAATATCAATAAGTTCTTCATAACCACGCATACACGAAATGATAAAGGCGTTAATCCCATTTTCATCCTTGATATCAATACATCTTCTTTTAACGTCATCATCTAAATTTTTCATAACATCTAACAACTTTTCTCTGTACTCTTTGTATCTCATTTGCACATTGTTCAAACACCAATGTATTTTTCCATTTTTAAGGTCCATTTTGACTCTATCTATGTATTTCTGCTCATCAGTCGAAGAAACGATAATTGTAAACTCAGCATGTGCTTTTTGTATTGAATTAAGTTGTACACGTTCAGATATTAATTTATCATCTGCATATTTGAGAATAGGTGCGATTAATGCTTTACTAAAATAAAAGCATAGAAAGTCAAACATTTTATCGTGTATTACTTTGTATTCTTTGCCTACTTTGATAAAGTAAGTATCCACACAAGCATTCAGTTTGGCTGTAATTAAAGACCGAGGGGTGTCACGACCTAATTTGCAAAATTCAAAAATGTCTTTTAATTTCTTTTTTTCAACTGAGTTTAAATCGTTTGAAATATCAAAAATGGCTTCATTAATGGTGCCGTTATATATAACGCAAAATAACAATACACATAATTTTTCTTTGTCGAAAGATTTCAGTTGGTTCCATTCCGTTCGAAATATTTCATATGGACTGTTTAAGAACTCATTGATCTCAAACTTGTCATGCTGAGCGTACAGGAAGCACATTATAGGGGAGAATTCAACATTTCCTAAAATATCTGTTATTATTTTATCATCCTTTTTCATGTATTTACTGGCTATTTTTATTTTATCTTGAAATGAATACTTTACAGTTAATTCGTAAATATCGTTTTTGAATAAATCGAATGCATCTTTGAAAGATTCTTCATTAAACACTTCAGTACGACAAGTGGCTAAAATTTTTGTCTTGCCTTTTACAAGAATACATTTGACAAACTCCACCATTTTTAGCCAGTTTTCAATATCATTGATATTTGCTGTATATTTTCCACATATATCATCCACAAAAAATACCTGACCAACATTTTGCTTGTATCGCCTCTTGATATCTTTAACACTAATGCAAGGCTCTATACTATACGCTTTTTCGTCGAATAATTTGAACGCTATATGCTGTGCAGTCAGGGTCTTTCCCATTCCAGATACTCCTGTTAAAAGTAAGCAATTGTGGGTTTCCAGAATTCTAAAAATATCTGTGACTACGTCTGTTTCAACAAATAGTTTACTTTTCAGCTTCCATAGTTCCATTTCGGGTATATCGGCGTCTGTAAAACACTCCAAATTTAACGGTGTCAAATTATTGTACAAATGTCAACCAGAACAAAAACAATTGATCGTTATATCTATTATCGGATCAAAGCCCTCTAAATGTTTAATTGTCTATTTTCAGTATAAAAAGAGTACACAAAGATTCAACTGACATGACACTTTTTTTTAATACCATAATGTTACATAGTCAGATCTAACCGAGAAATATTTATTTCAAGATAAGTCTATATCCCACAAAGAGTTTATTTTTATCACGAGATTTTTTTTTTATTCGCTTTAAATAATATCAAAAGAAAAAAATTCTAATTAATAAACTTGTTTATTACATATACATGTTTGATTATTGCTCGTATATATATTTCTTAAAACTAGCGTTAATATTATGTTAACCCTTCAGAAGCACTTCATTTCATCTGTTTTTATCATATTGTGTTAGTGTTTTGATTTTTTTTTAAATTTATTTCAATGGTGATAAGGGAAAGGGTAGAGGGGTCGTTTTTCAATTATTAGTTTTATTGTGTTTTCTCGTAAGATTGTACTTTTTAATTTTGTATTCTCCTGGTTGATTATATGTGTAGTTGTCTGTATTTGTATTTGTTATTTATAATGATTTCAGTTGGCATTCTGCATATTAACTCCCTTTCTCATATATGTTCTTATCTCCTTGAAATGTCACAATTTTTTTTTTACAGAATATCGACTCCGGTTATAGTAAATTTGCAATGCCGATTATTTGCCCCATTTTTGTGTTATGTTTTCTGTTTTGTATTTTTCAGTATCAGACAGTGCTTTAGATCTTTATCATTGTACGTTCATGTCATGTCCCTTTGATACCTGCTTACTTTTTTTATGTCAACGGATAAATTAATCTACTGTGGATTCATTTATTTTCGTAGGTATCAATTTTCGTGGATTGCTGAAAACTTGCTTATTCGTTGATATTTGATTTCGTGGTTTTGTCAATCACTGTATACAAAGCCTATATGAAATATGTTATTCGTCGAGCATTTCAATTCGTGGTTCACCTGTACCTACGAAACCCACTAAAATTGGTATCAAACGAATAATAAGGAATCCACAGTAAATTAAATCATCAGATACATTCGTAGTATAAGTTCTCAAATCATGCTGCATATTAAATGGTTGTTGATGTAAATCTATGCAAAACTTAAAACTTTTGTACTAATACACATTGGTTTTACTGTTATTTTCTAGTAATTTCATATTGTTGATATTTGTAAAGATATAAGGTGTAAATGTTAAAAAATAGAATTATGGTAAATATCAAATCAAATATTGCTTAATAATGTTGACTGAAGATAACTTCCAAATTGGTGATACTACAATTAAACATACCATTTAAGGATCCATCTTCAAAAAGTGTTTTCCCTTGTATTGCTAATGTCTGCAAAAATAATAAAAGTCGACCAGCTGGCTTTTATTCAAAATAAACTTGACATTTGTATATCATAACAGCATGATGCAGAATCAATGCCAAAGAGGGTCTATTGCATAAACATGAAAATGAATGTTTCACTCGCCAAATTGCGGTTGTTTCTTTTTTCTTATTATAAACGATTCGCTGATTTTAACTTTACGTCATTTTATAGATGAACTTCTTATCACATATCCTCATTGCCTGAACTTATCCCTACCAAGTGACACTAATGCTTACTAAAGAACAATTTAACACATTATTGTTCGACAAAAATGACCAAAAATGATTCCAAACATTGCTAAAAGTAAAAGGTGAAAGAATATAGCAAGCAAATGCAGGGAATTTCAAGGAATGTACTCTTTTGTCAAATTATGTAACGTTATGTTGTTAGGATCATTTACATTGTGTCATAGATCAAATTTATTCGTTCAGTGTATGTTTGCTTGTTTTTTGTTAATATGTTTTGTGATTGAGTGAAGCCATTTCAATTTATGTTTTATGCTGTGATGTTCAGGGTAGGTTGAGTGTTGGCGCCTGTTAAACAGATTATCCCGCTGTATTTGTTTGCAACTGTCAAGTCAGGAACCTGTTGTTCAGTGGTTGATGTAGTTTATAAGTGTTTTTTGTTTCTCGTTTTATTTTACAAAGATTATACAGTTGGATTACCTGTTTGAATGAATGGATTTTGGAGTCCTTCATAGCTTGCTGTTCGATGTGAGCCAAGGCTCCATGTTGAAGGAAGTACTTTGACCTATTATGGTTTACGTTTTACAAATTTTGACTTGGATGGAGAGTTGTCTCATTGACATTCATACCACATCTTCTTATATCTACACACTATCTAAGTAAATTTTGATTGTAAGGAATCTGGTTTCTAACCGCTGGCCCCTCATAATAAATATTTACACATGTGAAAATGTAAAATTCGAAGTCTTGACATCAATACGGCATGTCATCAGACTGAGGAAAACACCTCATCCCAGCTGCAATTGATCTAAAAACTGTTACATGCCAGAATCAGACATACGTCCACACATGCAATGTACAAGCAACTATTGTGCACACATTATGTTCACCTAATAAAATAGAAAAACTCTTCAACAAGGTTGCAGCATGACCAGTCGTTAAGATTATCAAACTAGAGGCTCTCAAGAGACTGTGTCGCTCACCTGACTCACTTGGGTTTTTGAAATCATATAAAAAAAGATAAAAATCATAACATACTTAAATAAAGATTGAGGCTACATTTTGTTTGATAATTAAACTCTATTCTGTGGTTCTCTAAAAGAAGACATTTGTATGTATTTCTCATAGGGTCCTATGTTAAACTAAGACACCGCTGGGGCCATCTTGGATGATAGCTCGGCTACAAAGTAACAACACTTGTTCAGCACCTCATAAGAAACACTCATGCTATGCTTGGTTTCATTCCATTCAGTGGTTCTCTATAAGAAGACTTGTGTATGCATTAATTTCCCATAGGGTCCTGTGTTAAACTAAGCCCCCCGCTGGTGGCCATCAAGGATGATGGATCGGCTACAAAGTAACAACACTTGGTCAGCACCTCATAAGGAACATTCATGCTATGTTTGGTTCCATTCCATTCTTTGGTTCTATAAAAGGAGAAATTTGTATGTATTTCTCATAGGGTCCAATGTTAAACTAAGTCCCCCCTGGCGGCCACTTTGGATGATGGATCTGCTACAAAGTAACAACACTTGGTCAGCACCTCATAAGGAACATTCATGCTTTGTTTGGTTTCATTCTCTTCAGTGGTTCTCTATAAGAAGACATTTGTTTGCATTTCCCTTAGGGCCTATGCTAAACTTAGCCCCTCGCTGGCGGCCATCTTGGATGATGGATCGGCTACAAAGTAACAACACCTGGTCAACATCTCATAAGAAACATTTATGCTATGTTTGGTTTCATTCCATTCAGTGGTTCTCTCAAATAAGACATGTGTATGTATTTCCCATAGGGTCCAATGTTAAAATAAGTCCCCCGCTGGCTGCCATCTTGGATGATGGATCGGCTACAAAGTTACAACATTTTATCAGCACCTCATAAGGAACATTCATGCTATGTTTGGTTTCATTCAATTCAGTGGTCCTCTATTAAAAGACATTTGTATGCATTTCGCATAGGATCCTATGTTTTACTAAGTCCCCCCGCTGGCGGCCATCTTGGATGATGGATCGGCTACACAGTAAGAAGACTTAGTCAGCACCTCATAAGGAACATTCGTGCTATGTTTGGTTTCATTCTATTCAGTCGTTTTCTAAAAGAAGACATTTGTATGTATTTCTCATAGGTCCTGTGTTGAACTAAGTCCCCCGCTGGCGGCTATCTTGTATGATGGATCGGCTACAAAGTAACAACACTTGGTCAGCACCTCATAAGAAACATTCATGCCATGTTTGGTTCTATTTCATTCAGTGGTTCTCTAGAAGAAGTTCAAAATGTAAAAAGTTAACGACGACGACGACGACGTACGACAACGGACGCCAAGTGATGAGAATAGCTCACTTGGCTCGTCATGCCAGGTGAGCTAAAAAGTAGTTGATTAAAACAGATTTTGTTTGATATTCCTTATTCAATAAATTTTTCAAGATAGCTATTGATTTCTACAAAATTTAATAGGTTAATATTTTCTCATGGGATTTTTTTCATGTACATCGACAATTGATTTAAAATTCTTCAATGTAATAATATCGAGTGGTATGATACCCAAATATTAATTATTGGATATCTATCAAAGGCATAATGAGTTTTGTTGGGTCTTTACAATCAGATATCAGACTTTAGTCAAGTTATAGAGAGGATAATTGGAGCCCACAAATGAAATAAAAACAAAAAGCACAAGGGAATCGACATCATTGCAATATTTTAGAACTCTCTTCCACATTTAAATCGGGGACTGATTACATCATACTGTTTGTTGTTGTTACTTACATTTTCAAGAGTTGAGATTCTTTTATCAGTCTGACTTAATGTGTTTCCAATTTCTCTGAGCTCTGCATATACTCTTGAAAACTCTGCATCTGCTGATTTGCATATAACATCCGCATATTTCACTAATATTTGTATCTGCTGTCGGATTTCATCGACTAATTCAAGACCGATTGTTGAACCTTGGAAAAAACTTGTACCTAGTAATATATAACAGATATAGAATTGGCAATATATAGGACAGGACAGCAAACAGCAATAACCACCAAGACGGAAGTCCGTAAAATAACCCAGTCCGAGATATCTCTGCATCTTGTAGTCAATGTGTAGGACTTTCTAGACCGAGGGAGGTTAGAGAGCAAAACAAACAGAAAACACGAAAATCGCCGATCCAAAGAGACAAACAACAGTGCACAAAAAACTAGTAAAGACAGAGCAAAACAAACTCAACTCAAAACTAGGGATGATATCCGGTGCTGCGGAAAGATGAGCAGACGATGCTCCACATGAGGCACGCGTCATGCTATACATAACAGGGAATGCTTAATTTTATAACGCCTACGTAGTCTTTAAATTTACTTTCTGCTATGAAGATGATGTTCTCTCAGTTACTGATTACAAATGGCGAACTTAAGATTGAGGACAGCTGCAGTTTAGTCCGCCTCATTACTTGACTTACATCTAGAAATTGACAGTGCGGGTCGGTTGTAAACAAAACTTTACGACAAAAGCGATGATTTCAGCTTTCCAATTATGAACTTTCCATTTCAATGTAGCAACATTCTTGCGGCGCCTGCATAGGTAGTTTATATCTCCCAGTTGATACGATATTCTAGGTATGGTATTTTCTATCATGATTTCCAGGATAGAGGGTTGCTACGTACAGGGAAGCTATTTAACCAAGAGTTCAAAGTAGTAAAGTTGAAATTATCCCTTCGTAAATCTTATGGAATATTCGTTTCACAGATGATAGCGGATATGTTCCTAATGTCGTAACTAAAATTTCGCCCCTCCCCCTTTTTCGCGAATGGGACGTATGATTTACAGAAAAGGACTTATTACCGGGTTTATAGTAACATGAGAAACAAGGCGGGTGCCACATGTAAAGCACCAGAGATTACCCAATGGTTTGGTGGGGTTCGTGTTTCACAGTCTTCAGTTTTCTATGTTGTGTTTTGTTGTGGCAGTTGCTATCAAATAGTCCCTTTCTATGTACGTTGTCATTTGTTTTTGTAGCAGTTCAGAGTTCCTGTTGATCCGTTGTTTCTCTCCTCTAGTTGATGTGTTTCCCTCGGTTTTGATTTATGACCTGGATTTGTTTTGGCTTAAATGATTTATGACTATTGAACAGCTGTATACTACTGTTGCCTTTATTGTATACTATTAGTCTGTTGATGTTTTTCTGTTTTGGCGATGGCGTTGTCAGTTTATTTTCGAATCTTGAGTTTGAATGTCCCATTGGTTTATTTTGCATCTCCTTTAATATCTTGGACTTGATCCTTCTGGGGTTATTCGATTCCTTAACATTTTATTTGTTACTGTGATAGGTTTATAAGATTGGAAAATCGATACAAAGCTGAAGTCTTAATTCCTTTCCTAGCAATAACTATTCATACGCATATATCAAATAAATATTAGTATAAATGTATAATTGTAGAAGAGCGAAATTTTTAATCGGTATTTTTGCTTGATTTTATGATATTTTGTTCTAATCGGTTCAAAAATATTGATTGACGTTATTCTTCTTTTTCTTATTCTGCCTTTTTATGGTTAAAATGAATATTGTAAGTATTATTTGTTCGTTTACTCAATAAGCTATAGGTTACAAAAGTTGTTGTATTAAACATATTTCCATCTCGTTATCATGGTAATCATAGGATGATTAAACATATTTGGAAAGAAATGCTGACTTTTTTTTTTAAATTGACAGATTCTTTTAATGAACATATGTAGCTCTTATTGTCTACAATTGATTGATTATAACAAATGTTATATCAAAAAATTATCATAGTTTTGATAAATTGTTATGATCAACTGTGTTACGTTGTACACATTTATGGAAGGTTTTGTACCTGGTTTATTATTATTTTTTTTAACGTAGCTACGTATAAAAATTGCTAAAATGTTCACATTTGAATTTTGCTTTTTGTGAGGTTTTAGTTATGTTACAATTGAATGTGTAGAGCGATAAATCATTATGACAAAGCCACTTTGAATAAACAGTGATCTTACTGTTTGTTTTTGTACTGCATGTCTATTTTTAACATTTTATCATATATGACTTAATTATTTATTAGAGAAATCTGACAAGCCTTAAGCTGGAAGTTATTTAATTTCAGTGTATATCTAATATTTATTTCTGAACTCTTGGTTTTTTTTCTTGATATGTGTTTAATGAAGTTCAATATATTTGGATGTATAATTTTGAAATCAATATTTGATTATAATCAATTTAGAACATTACTTTTCTTTACAATTCATGAAAAAATGTGGAACAAGGCAATGACCAGTTAAGGTCAAGTTACAGTAAATGGGTTATGTCACATATTTTCGTAAAATTTTACATATGCCTTTGGCTCTTTTAACTGATAATCGAAAAAGCGATGCTTTTATCTTTTTCCCCCTTAGATATTACTGATAGAATTTTTCAAATTAGTGCCCATTTGTATAGAAAGCACACAAATTCGGCGAAAAAACGTTCTTAAATTTGTCTTTAAATCATCAAATTTCCAACTTTACTCCATAGGTTTCTCTTAAAAAACTATATGTTGTTGATTCAACAATTTCTGTTTTAATGATGTAAAATAATAATAGGGTCACCGACTTCGTTTTTATGGTATACATCAAGCAAAGTGGTGTACTTGTTGTAAAAATACACAAATCGTCAAAATAATCGTAACGTAATCGCGTTGTAGACCCTAAATCGTCGATTTTTCACGTTTTTGACTACAGACAAGGTAACTGATTTGTAAATACACCAAAAAACGAAGTCGGTGACCATATGATTACTTTATATCATTCAAATGGAAATTTATGTACCAACAACATATAGTTTTTTAAGAAAAATCTATGGAGTAAAAATATAAACTTTTTTGATTTTAAGGTAAATTTGTGAACTCTTTTCGTCGACTTCATGTGCTTCCTATACACATGTTTATTATTTTGAAAGAATTCCAACAGTAATATTTTGGAAAATAAAAAAGAAATTGGATTATTTTTTGGACTTTCAAATAAAATTCAACGAGCACAAGTTATATGCACAATTTGACCGAAATCTGTGACCTAGTCCATTTACTGTCCCATAACCTTGAAATTGTTTCCTGTTTTATGTTACAATATGACACCTTTTTTAGTTACTATTCTAATATTAAATGTCGCTTTGTGGTTAATGTATAATACTGAAATCAGTATATCTTTTTTGTTTGTTTAATGTACATTTTGGCTTTATAACTATTTTGATATGAGCGTCACTGATGAGTCTTATGTAGACGAAACGCACGTCTGGCGTCCTAAATTATAATCCTGGTAACTTTGATAACTAATTATATCATTAGAAGATAATATAATAATACGCCTATTTTATGTTATTAAGAAATGTAAACAATGAATGATACGGAACATCGAGGAAAATTCAAAACGGAACAGTCAACATTTGGGTATAATCTTAATAACTATTAAACCAAACAAATATGTCAACAAATAAAAACAAAAAGGCAGGTAAACAAAGCACATAAGCAAATATAAAAGACAAGAATAGAAACATTTACCATAATACACAATAACACAATGACGGGAAGTATAAATACCGACCCACAACTTATGGATATTACCAAAAATAAAATAAACATTAAAAGCAATAATTTATAAAAACAAAGAATAAAACACTACCACACGTCATAACGATGATAAACAACGTCAGTACCAAGAATTTATACTTCAAGACCATCTGGTATTGTTGATAAATATTCATCAACAAGGTATTGGTATCTTCAGACGAACTTTCTTTTTTAGTAAAAAACGTGACGTTCTTTGATATAACTCTGGTTCATCAACGTTTTGCTCAGACACTGGTGACATTTTATAAAGTCTGAATAGCAGCTTGCAAGATCTTGGATACAGAATGAGTTAAGAAATGTTTATTCCAAATGCAGGCGAAGTCGGTATACTGCTAACAAAATTGATAATTTCAAAATTAAAATCGTCTCGTTTGTCATAGAAGAGGGACGAAAGATACCAGAGGGACAGTCAAACTCATAGATCGAAAACAAACTGACAACGCCATGGCCAAAAATAAAAAGACAAACAGACAAATAATAGTACAGATGACACAACATAGAAAACTAAAGACTAAGCAACACGAACCCCACCAAAAACTGGGGGTGATCTAAGGTGCTCCGGAAGGGTAAGCAGATCCTGCTCCACATGTGGCACCCGTCGTGTTGCTTATGTTATTACAAATACGGTAAATCGTTTAATTCGGTAAGTTACATTCGTGAAAAGGGAAGGGTATTGTAATTACGACATAAGGAACATATCCGATATCATCTGTGAAACGGTTATTCCATAACGGTCAACCAACTCGTGATGGCGTCCGTAAAATTTACGAAGGGATGATTTCAACATCACCATTTGGAACTCTTGGCTTAATAGCTTCCTTGTGAGCAGCAATCCTCTATCAAGGAAATCATGATAGGAAACACAAGCCCGGGAATATCGTATCAATTGGGAGATATATACTCCGTACGAAGGCGCTGCTGGAATGTTGCTACATAGAAATGGAAAATTCACAATTGGGAAGCTGAAATCATCTCTTTTGTGGTAAAGTTTTGTTTTCAACCGACCCTCATTGTCAATTTCTAAATGTAAGTCAAGATATGAGGCAGACTTAACTGTATCTGTAGTATCTTTTATCTCTAGTTCGATGGGATAGATTCGTTCAACATAGTCACCAAATTTTGTATTATTTAGTGAGAGAACATCATCTATATAGCGGAACGTAGAGTTAAAGGATATTGCTTACTTCTTATCTTTCTTCCTAAGAAGTTCCTGTATGACGTTAGCCTCATAATAATAAAGAAACTAGTCGGCAAGAAGAGGGGCACAATTGGTTCCCGTTGGAATTCCGACAGTCTGTTGAAAAACACGTCCTCCAAACGTAACAAATATGTTGTCAATCAAGAAATCAAGCATCTTGATAATGTCAGTTTCAGAGAATTTTTTGTTTGAATCAGAGTGATTCTTTACAAAGTAGGATTTATCCCTCCCCAAGACAAGATACTTGTATCTACGTTCGCCATTCTTTTTAATGAAACAAAGTAATACCAACTCTTTCAATTTGTCTTTTAGTTTGGAATGGAGAATACTTGTGTAAAGTGTAGTAAAGTCAAATGTTTAAATACTATTGCAAGATGAGAGAGTCTTAGATTGTATGTACTCTAAAAGATCTTTGGAATTTTTTAGTATCCACATCTGATTCACGCCACCTCTAGAATAGGCAGTTTCACAATAACTTTGGAGCCCGGCTTTGATTGCTGATAAAATAGATGTTAATAATTTAGAAAGAGGTTTCGTGGAGCACTTGGAAGACCCAGCAATATACCGTTGTTTGTAAGGCCACTTATGTAGTTTAGGTATCCAATACAGTGATGGAAGATCCAGTTCTTCATCTTTGGTTGAAATTCCAAAGGAACATAGAACAGACCTATGATTATCCAGGATTTCCTCTTTGGTAAGTGTCGTGAGGATATATGTTGAGTTTCCAAGTGAATTGTCAATACCTAATTCATTTATCAAGAAGTTTATGTAATGATTTTTACACACAAAAACGATGTTGTTTGGGGCTTTATCTGCGGGGACAACAACATATTTGTCATGGAGGTAGGACAAGTGTTTTGCAACATTAGGGTCTTTAAAAATTGATGTAGCGTGGGTATTGATATGCCCATTTAGTTTCTTAATTCGGATTTGTATCAACGACCTCACAGCCTTAATCCATTCGGAAAGAGTATCTACGTCTTCTTTCTCGCGGTTAGCCCATTGCCTGGCATAATCTTCAACTGAATCCATCAGTATTTTGAAGTTGTATTTCCAATTGATGGATTTAGGCTCACGATATTTCGGACCTTTGGATAACAAATTTCGCAGGGAAGTGTTATTGACAATATTGAGGACTCCGGTAATAACGTGGCCAGCCGGATTATATGTGAATTGGGAACTAGCACAGTTGCAATCAGGAGGTTTAGACTTGAAGTCGTCAATGTTGAGATCCTGCAAAACGTGTTTGTAATTGAAAATTTTAGTTGCAATTGGTTTGGTATAGGTATAAGAAATTATTGGTACAGACTGATCTTTAAAATAAGGAGGTATTTTTGACAGAACTAATTTATGATGAAGGATATTGCCTACGTTGACGCCATCGAGACCTTTGTTGGCAAAGGAAAGTTTAAGAAAAGATCTTTTCTCTTTTTCATAGATTGACCGCTTATTTCAAATTCCAGGTATAAGTATACAAATGGGGCAGGGGAAGCCGTTTTTTTTTTTATTCATCTTTAATGTCTAGCTTTTGGGGAAATGTTTATATAAAGTTTATATTGTTAATAGAAAGAACATTATCATTATATATATATAATGTGAAATTAAATGATAAGGCTTCTTTGGTCTTCTTGTTTTTGACAGGTGTCTGAAGAAACTCAAACTCATAATAAAATAAGGAGAGTTCGGCAAAGAGAGGAACACAGTTCATTCCAAAGGAATGCCAAACATTTGTTAAAAAAGTATACCTCCAGATTCAACAAATATACTGTTCAGTGGTTGTTCAGTGGTTGTTCAGTGGTTGTCGTTTGTTGATGTGGTTTCTAAATGTTGCTCGATTCTCGCTTTTATTCAGATTGGACCGTTGGTTTTCTCATTTGAATGGTTTTACAATAGTAATTTTTTGGGGCCCTCTTAACTAGCTGTTCGGTGAGACCAAATGTTCCGTGTTGAATACCGTACTTTGACCTATAATGGTTTACTTTTACAAATTATGAGTTGAATGGAGAGTTGTCTCATTGGCACACATACCACATCTTCTTATATATAATCAATAAGAAACTTCAGCATACTGATTTCATGTTTCCCTGTGTAGCATGTTTAACCATTGTTGTAAGATATAGACCTTTTTCAATAACTAGAACAATACAATTTTGATCTAACTTTGACTACATAATGGACCTTATACTAACAGAGGTGCGCCTTTTTTAAACAGACACCCCTAGTCTTTCGGACATACAAATTTTCAGCATCGTTTTCAAACAAACTTTACTCATTGATTAAAGTACAAAAAATGTGCTAAAAATACCAAATCCAGAAATTTGATTTCCTGATATCTGGGCCCGAGTCAGAAAATCAATGATAAAGTTTCTGGGAAAGTTGATTTAAAAAAATAAATAAAATAAGAGTTAGGAAAATAAGCAAGAACAATGATAAAATCAAAAAATAAGCGTATAGTTAAATACCATTTGTCTTCCATTTGTTTAGTTCGGCGATGAATTGACTCTCTTCAGCTGCATTTAAGTTAAGAAGATAGATAAAATCTTCAATCTGTTGTAGTGACGAATTGTACTTCATTGAATCCCACTCTATAAAATTACAATGAGCCCAGGGATTTCGTACAGCTGCCCTAACCTAAAGTATATATTGATAATAATTTGACCTCCTATACATTTTTAAGAATATCATTGGTATAAAAGTAACATGACGTTGAAAAAAAAACTGAAACGTTTCTCACAAACAACAGATGACGAAACTGACGCTAAAAGACTGAAAGCAAATGCAGTAAACATCAAAGCTAACAATTTGTAATTTTCTGTACAGACCAAACGAAGAAGTTCCTTTCATTGAAGACTTGATCGCTTTGATATGCCACATGCTAAGACAATTGCTAAGATAAATGTGTCACGCAGTGTGCTAGAGGCGTAATACGATAATAAGGGTCAATGATTTCGATATGGGGTTTGAGCTTTGTTCTCACCAAATAAAGAGTTTATTGGTTTCATTTATATTGTATTACGTCAGTAGCAATCGGTGTAACAAATAATACATGTTATAGATAATGAATATTTTAAGGTTTTTCTTGTCGTAGAACACACCGAGGGGTGTCAGGATTGATCAAATGAAAGACCGACCGTAGGGTTGATTCTTCGAAAGGTATATAATGTCTTATAAAGGTAAGATAGTTAATGATATGTTAAAATGCATATGTACAATATGAAGAAACAGGATAAACATTCGGCTTGATAACTGAGCTTTTATATGCAATCATATAGACAACTTGTAAGGATATACATGTAAAGACAAAATTGTGCACTGATGAGATTCTTGGTTTAGATTGGCATACTCAAATGTAGCAGATAAAAACTTGTGTGAACAAAGTTGCAAAAACATTAAACAGAAATCATTCAAAAACTATTCACATAGTTATCACTTTTCTCGGTTATTATATAAGCTCAATGTAAGACATCGAATGTTCGTGTGCTTATTGATGTGTATTAGAAACAAAATAACATAAATTGAAATTAACGAGTTCTTTATGTCATTTTAAAAGGGACTGTATTGCATAAATATTGATTAATATTGCTCCTTTGATATATTTTTCAAACAAGACAAATGTCAAGATCTATTAATAGAGGTCGGTCATTTAAAGACGTATCAACCGTATCATAAATACGTTGACGTATACGCATCTGCAGATACACCAAAAACAGTATGTAATCCAGAGCTTTAATTGTATATACTTTTAAAAATGCAGATGGGCAACTGATCTAATGTTAGCAACCTAGTTTTTAGAAAACGTCTTGAATGTGTTTGCTTCAATTTCACATGATTTAAATGTTGTTTACCTCATTGGAAGATGGATATGAAACGCATGCACTTACGATGTGTATACATGTACACACAGCACTACAAACCAGTAAAAGTCTGAAATGGCCTATATGTGTACTCGACTGAACTGATTTTTACTCGACCAGTCTGAATTGGTCTGAAATTTACTTGATATTACTCGACTGTAGTCTGAACCATACTAAACAGTCTGAACTTGTACTCGACCTTTACTCGACCAGTACTTAACCATTTTATACGAGTCTGAACCATACTCGACATAGTCTTAACCAATCTCGACCAAGTCTGAACCATGCTCGACCTAGTCTGAACCATATTCGACCTAGTCTGAACCATACTCGACCAAGTCTTAACCAATCCAGACCTATTTTTTGTATCTATCTATATTATTTTTTCATTAATTTAGGAACTGTTATTCATATAAATATATATATAAAATGTATATCACATTTAAAATTAAAATAAAACAAGGTGATCAAATTTCTGGTTGGATTAAAAAAATATCATGTAAGAAATTAAGTTCGTTAAATAAATTTTCATATACATGATATCATGTTCACATTGATTTATGCATCAAAAATACTATAACTTTCAACCATTATTCAAATATCTTAATGTTATTCAATTTTTTTTTTATCAAAATATATATAAAATAGTATATAAAGCAACTTAATAAATGTTAGAATCGACACCTTTGTTTTGTAAAATCAAAAATTTAATATAATAATAATAATAAAACTTTCATCTTTTTTTCCTTGATAACCTTTTAAAAAAGGAAATGTATTCCAAAGTTGCAGTAGAAATTTATTTTAATTAAATTTAAATACGTTTTGTCAAAATTAAACACATGGCATACAAGAAGCAGTTTAATAAGGTTTAATGGTTTAATTACCTCAGTACAGGTGTTTTACAGGTAAAAAGAAAACCATATTTTTCTTAAACTCGTGTATTACTTATCTAGTGAATTCAAAGGCCTTGTTATTTAAGTTTTACAGGATGTTGTAATTTTCAATGGATGTTATTTAAAATTTATTACTCTCTGACCAGGTGTGATCTTTTTAATCAGTGTGCGTCAAGCAGGATGTATTACTTTACAGTTTACCCCTAATCAGAAGAAAAATTTTATTCATTTCTTGAATTTTTCATCCCTTTTAAAATATATATATATATCCCAAATTATGAATAGGAATAGATATATTTCTGATATAAGGTTAAACAATGTCAGTGATTTATTTTGGCTGTTGTTACCTCATTAAAAAGATAGTTATATAACTATTGTATATAACCATGAAACCTAAGTACAGAAAGTCACAGGACAAAAAGTCACAGGACAGAAAGTCACAAATTTGATAGGACAAAAAGTCACAAATAATTTGTATACAATTGATTGAATATTTATGAGAAAGATCTTGAAATGTTTACATTTTATGACACATATTCATTTTACAGTTTAGGAAATTGTTCATAAGACTTAATTTGATAAATAAAGATTTATAAAATTTTAATCATGCAAAGGATATATTTCTTGGCACCATGAAGCCATTTAAGTACCAAGACATTGTAACATTTTGTTTTCTTAACAATTATTTGATCATTATTGATATTGTTTCAAGAAAAATACAAAAATGTTTCTTTAAAAATAAGTGTTCTATTGTTCAAAGAAAAATAACCTCAAAACTGAATTGTGACTTTTTGTCCTGTGACTTTCTGTCCTACATTCGTTTTTATTTAGGAATTTAGGAAAATCAAGTTTTGTTTAAAAAAAAAACACATGCCAAACAAAAAGCACCTTATTTTTAATAAGATTTTATTACCCTCAGTATAGGTGTGGTTTTCAGGTAAAAAAAGTCTTTTATTTAACAAGACTCAGACTTTAAAATTAGATAATTTAACTATCTCGATTTGCCAAATCTAAGAGAATCATGTATTATAAAAGAATGTGAAAAATGTTTTTATATATATCTTTATTTAATTGTGGCTGTTGTCATGTTAGTTAAAGAGAAAGTTATTTAAACAATCAACATTATAAAGAAGAGGTTATTTGGTCAAGTATGGTTCAGACTGGTCGAGTATTGTTCAGACCTTTGGTCGAGTATGGTTCAGACTGAAAAAATAGGTCGAGAGCTGGTCGAGTACTGGTCCAGACTGGGTTAAGACTGTTTCAGACTGGTCGAGTAATAGTTTAGACTATTTTCAATAGCAAAGATAAGGGTCAAGTACAAATCAGTACAGTCGAGTATGGTTAAGACTGGGTCGAGTAATATTAAGTAAAATTCAGACCAATTCAGACTGGTCGAGTAAAAATCAGTACAGTCGAGTACAGATATAGGCCATTTCAGACTTTTACTGGTTTGTAGTGCAGGTGGTAGGTATTGCTTTACAATGGGTATAGCATTATTAACAGACATAATTTCAAAGATATATTAAACATGTTTGTTGACTATAAATCAGGCATCTTTTGTCAGGATAAGGACAGTGTTAAATCTAGTCATGTGATAACTCGTCAACTTCCCAAGAAGATCTATAAAATTTTGTTTCAATGTGCAGAATATTCATGATGCGGAATGTATGCAAATCATCTTTACGGGCTTTAGAAACAGGGCAAATATGGCTTATCTGGTTTTCTTTCGTTTCGTTGTACAAATATTTGTTTTCCCGAAAAATATCCATGCATTAATTTTTTTCTGAATTATATCCCTTTCGGGTAACACAAGCTTAATATACGTAAAGTTCATGCACCTGAACTGATTTCATACTCGCGTGCATGATATTTTTTTCACGTGAAATTCACTTGAAAACAATATGAAATATCGATTTTTGTGGAACATGTAATCCGACTTTTAATACTGAAAGGTTAGTACATTTAACAGGCATGGTAGGAGTGAATACGGTAAAATCGTTTGTTTATGTGCTAACTTGTTCGCTCGTAGAACCTAATTGTTGTTTGACAAATAGAGCGATGCTCAGTAGGTTTTTTTCCTCCAAAATTAATGTATTTATTTTACATATGAAAACACTTTATATATCTATTACAAATTTTTGGAAAAATTGCAAATAAACAATATTCAAAGCTCTTACATGTACATTTGATTTTATTGTGTTTATTCAGGTAAGATCTTGCAATATTTTTACGTGTTTTATAAAAGCATTTTGTACGAAATTCGTGTCACTGCCCCACATTCCCTCCTTTTTGAGAGCGTGCAGGAGTAGTTGATAGACGTCCTTTTTTGCAAAACACCATCTTGAAATATTGAAAGTTTGCGTTTGATTGTTTTGAATAAGATCCAATTAATAGATAAAAACAATTAAAAAAAATTGAGCCACAACGTAAAATAGTCTTAAGCTCGGGATCACATAATATTTTTTAGTATATATGCATATGCGTATACGTCAACGTATATGATACGGTTGATACGTTTTGAAATGACCGACCTCTATTTAAAAAGTTACTGAAAACTGTTTTAAATATTAACTATGCCGAAATTGGAAATTAAGTTTGAAGACATAGTGGACAATATGCCATCGATCTTGGCTTTCATTTTTTGCATAGGAAAAATGAACCAATTAATATCCTTATTAATTATACTGGCTGTCAACTTTTTACCAAATCGTAAACAAATCTAAAACACCCCATAAAACACGAGAACGCAAAACGGGCGTATCAAATACATAAGCAGCTGTAAAGTGAGGATCACCGTTACCAAGTGACAACATTAAATTGCCGACTGCAGAGTTTGTTATATCTTGGTGATAAAATGTAAAAAAGCAGCTGCATCGACACAGCTAGTCATTGATAAATCACGCATTAGAATAAACAAAATGTTAGTTGAAAATTTCAAACATTGAATATAGATTTATGTATATTCTTACATTCCTTGCAGCTATCTGCACGTTTCCAGGAAACTTGTCTATCCTGTCGATCATTCCAAGGAGAGCTGATGAATCACACGATCCATCAAATGCTGTGTAATGTGCCATGTGTGTCGGTAGGAATAACTTTGACAGATTTACAGCATTATGTACTTTGTAATCCCACAGAACTGAACGATAACCATGGGTTGCCTTGTTGTTATTGATAGCCTCATAATTGAGGTAGATATTCGCTGCGCCATATGTCCGTAAATGTGTTGTTTGTGTTTGTAAGTCGATCTGATAAGTTATCTTTAGCGAGCTGTAAAGGCTAGTAACAACGGGGTCCACATATTTTCTCAAAGCTGGCGATAATATACTGTGCAAACAAATTCCAACCACGAGCCATCTTTTCCTGTTGTCGTCCAAGTCATCTGGTGGACCTAATCAAATATTTGTTCGTTTTTTAATTATGTTTTAAATTAAGAATAAACGTACAGAAATTATGCATTTTATTTTTATATAAATTTGTAATTACTAGAGTTATTGCCTTTGTATCTTTGATAATCGTACAGTATTGACGAGTTTAATATGTTTGTCTATTCTAAAAAGTAAAATCACAAAAATACCGAAAATAAACGACGAGGAAAATTCAAAACGGAAAGTCCCTAATCAAATGGCAAAATCAAACGCTCTAACATATCAAACGAATGGATATCATCTGTGATATTCCTGACTTGGTACAATAGTTTGCACTCTTTTTAGGCGTTCACAGATTTTACTGTTGATAAAAATATACTCAACAACAAAAGAAACACACTTCCATTAGTTTGTTTGGAGTACATTTTGTTTTATTACATATTACTTCTTTAAAGTGATTGAAAGGAATCAAAATTATGACACATCGTTTTTAAAGTTTAAAACACCAAAAAAATAGAATTGTCTTAATTTCAATTTTTGACATCTAAAAGAAAAAAAAAGATCTTGTCGATTTTCTGAAAACTAATGTCGTGTTTAGATGTTCACATGAAAATAAATATCTGGATTGACTTTGTATTTCAGTTTCTTAATCGAATTATTGTCTAATGACCAATTTAGAACTGACTAATCGCAGACTTTTGATTTGTTTTACTTTGAGGTTGGAATTGTCACTGTTTCCACTAAAATGGAAATTTCCCTGTAAATTCTGCATGAATGTGAAGGTTATGCTGGAAATATAATTTATAATATATCTCTACAAATCATTAGCAAAAACAAGAATGTGCGTTATATGGGTTGTTAAGTATACATATGTATCGGTCGTCCCACTGACTATATTACTCTGCTCAGCTTTTAATAAAATTGCATATCACGGCTTTGTGACGTCAAAAACGTTGACCCGGCCTTAATAACTTTGACCCAGACATATCAGCGAGGTCATAAAAATTTGAACCGACGTTGGTTAGTTTGACCCGAACTTTTCTAGTCATCTTCCGGTTGCTGCTGAAACTAAGAAAACACTTCCAAAAGACGCAAATACTGGCCGATAAATCGATTATCTGGTTATCTTCATATTGATGTTATAAAATATCAGCTGCTCGACACAATAAGAAGGCTTTTTGATCTCTTTCGCTGCGCTCACTTGACACAAAGCTTCATATTCAACCTGATAATCGGTGTTCAACATAGCCTTTTTATTTAAGGAGAAGAACAAATGTTACTTCTTTATTGATGCAAAACGCTCTTTTTGCACTTCATTTGCCTGGGATGCTCAACACAAAGTCTGATGCAACAGAGTAATTGAGAAGACGGACCAACATCGACAATTGATTAGTTTTACGGTATCCATAAAAAATGTGTACGATATGTCTGTTTCTGAACTCAATCGCGACATTTGTTTTGCTGTCTCAGATCTAAAAACTTAAAATAACAGAAAGCCGTTTATACTTTAAATTGACCATGATTGTGTCCAATTCTCTAATGTGACATGTTTACTGAATATTGATTCACATGATTGGGATTCATTCTCATTTAGAGAAAGATATGCCAATACGCTTTCGATGCACCAAGTCTCTCTAACTTTTTAGAGTTCGTCGGATCCAATCAGTTTCTAAAGTCATATAAAACTTGAAATTTTAAAATTAAGTTGAATATGTTTTATATACTTGAATGACTCTAAAAGGAGTTAACGTGAACCTTTCTTAAAAGAAATTCATTTATATTACCAACATCTTAATAAATCTACAGATATTGAATTATTGACCTCCCATACACTAATTCGCCGATACTTTCCGATATTCAGTGACCTTAACAGAGCGCTGTATCAACTGGTGTGAGGTGAGGATGATTACTCTCCCCTCTCTTATTTCTGATGGTTATAGATTGTGTGAGTAGAAAATCATACAACACTCCTCATGGTATTAAATGGACATTACAGTCATGCCTCGAAAACCTTGACTTTGCAGACGATATCTGCCAGCTTTCCCATCGCCATGAAGACTCACAAAACCAAGCAACCAACCTTGAAACAACTGCAAAACAAGTAGGACTGTACATGAATGCAAATAAGACAAAATCTATGAGAACGCGAACCACCTTAACAAAACCAAAATGAAAGATGTCCGAGAATTTACATACTATGTTGGAAGTGTAATCAGTACATCAGGAGGGACAGATGAAGACATCCAGTCTAGAAAAAGAAAAGCACAACAAGCCTTAGCAATCCTTAAACCAGTCTGGAGGAGCAAAGTACTCAGCACAAACACCAAAACCAGGATCTTCAACTCCAATGTAAAGTCTATACTTCTCTATGGGTCAGAAACTTGGAGACTTAACAGCTGCGTCTCCCAAAACATTACAAGTTTTCATGAACAGGTGTCTTAGAAACATCATAGGAATCAAGTGGCCTAACACCATTAGCAACAAAGAACTATGGAAAAGGACTAAACAAGAACCAATAGAAAGAACAATTACGACACGTAAATGGAAATGGCTAGGACACCCGTTACGTAAAAACAACACAAATGTAACTAGACAGGCACTAGATTGGAATCCGCAGGGCCATCATAAAAGAGGACGACCAAAATCCACCTGGCGCAGAGATCTAACATCTGATCTACAGAAAATTGGTAAAACATGGGGAGAAGAAAAGACAATAGCTAAGGTCAGAAAAAGATGGAAAGCTACTGTGGTCGCCCTATGTCCCCCATGGGACGAAGTGGATTAAGTCAAGTAAGTTAACAGAGCGCAAGTGTGAGGGAAAAACCGCGATGAAAAATGTAAACAAACCTACTGTGGAAAGTAAATTGTAATAACAGATTATATTAAAACAAATCAATGCAACAAATAATTGAACAACTGTAACGAAACGTTTAATTAACAAATTGAAACAATTGGGAAAATATAAAAAAAAACATATGTCATGGCTCTTTCAATTCACGTATTTGTCACGTTTTGCACGTGCTCTGTTTTATTGTTGATTAAGGTCACTATCCGGTAAACGTCTGCAAAATACTCCAAATTCAATAAGCTTGCGACCAAAAATTCCTGAATGAAATATTATTTGTCAATAGTACGTTATATGTATATATATTTAATAACAGACATAGCAAGCCTCGATTTATCATCTATGCATGCATTGGTTCAATAATTTCGATAACATAACAATTTCAACAAAATCGTTTCATATGACTTTAATGTAGCCTATATTTGTCTTCTCAATTATTTGTGAAATTTGTACATCGGTAAACAACTGTTCCTTTGATTATTACTAAAATGACAATATTCATACCTGTATGTGACGAATATTCTAGTTCACTTATTCTTCTTTCTAAATCAAAAGGTATTGAACTCTGTATCGGTGTTGGTGCCTGATTAGCCATGTTTACCTACAAAACGAGCATTTTAAGTTTCTGATTTTTGCAGTTAAAAAAGATTTATCAACGTTCCTTTGTCTCTGTCACTATGCTTTTTTAATACAATAATTGACGTCAATAACGTTGATCCACCATAAAAAAAAATTTGACGAGGATATATCACCGACATCATCATGATTGTACCAAGGTATCTTCCGGTTTTCTGGTGAAACATAGAAAACAATTGTTTCTAACATAACAATGCAAAAAAACACAAATATAACCCGATAAATAGATCATCTGGTTACAGGTATCTGCATCTTTATAATGTAAAGTATAAGCTGAACGACAAAATATGAAGCCTATTTGAACTCGTTCGCTGCGGTCACTCGACAATAAATTAAGATGAAAGAATAAAACTTATACCCGACTACTTTTTTTTAAATTTTATTTATAGATAATAAGTGGTGTTGTGCAATTTTTATATGTGAGCCCTTTTCTTCTTGAATGCCTCAATATGATTTTAAGATTTATAATACAACTAAGAATAAATTGCTTCGCCGCGCGCAGCTTTTGTGCAATACAATATACTGTTGCAAATTGACACCCCCCCCCCCCCCCCCCCCCCCCGCCAACAATTTATTTTTGTAAATATTTGAAGACATTTTCTTTTTAATTTCTGAAATCTGAAATGAGAAAAATTGTTCAACCCCACATTTTCTTTTTACCCTCCCCCTTTTCTTTGAAAAAATATCTTTCCCTCAAGATATGATCATAATCTCAATTCAAATTTCCATTGGAGTTTACAACCATAATTACCCATTTAAATACATCATAAAAGTCTTAGAATAGAAAAGAACATACATAATCATTGCTAAAATTAATATTCCTAAAATCAGCATTTGATAGCTACTTCTGAAAATAAATTGACAGCTAATCACCTCTAGACAGTGCAACATTTCTTTACACATAATTTAAAAACAGTGTAAGGGAGGTAATCCAAACATAACATTGTACTGAGATATTGTCCATAAACCAGGAACCACTTGTTTCCCCCTTTTTTGCCCCTAATTTTCGTAATGGGTTGAGCAATTACCCCCAAAGTCAATCCTAACTATCCCTTTGTGGTATGGCAACCTGTGGTATAATTTCAAAGAGATCCATACACCGTTCCATTTGTTTGTCCCTACTTCCTAAACTGTTAGGATTTGATTTTGATTTTTTGTGTTTTAACGCCACTTTTAAACACCGCTTTTAGGCTATTGCGTGGCGGCCAGTTTTTATTGGTGAAGGAAGCTGGAGTGCCCGGAGAAAACCACCGACCTACGATAGGAAAACTGACAATCCTAGACAATTAAGATTGGAGTCGAGTGCATCGGCACGATCGGCGTTCGAACTCACAACCTCAGTGTTGACTGGCTAGTGATTATGTAAAGCAAAATTCTATCCGGATGAAATATGATCCGGCGGAAAAAATGTTACAGTAGTTTTTTTTTTATCTGGAGGAAATTATTTCACTATGATATATTTTCCATTGCCTTAAAATTCTATCTGAGAAGTTAAAAGTATAGAAAAGTTAATAAAAAAAAATTTAATTGTTGCGAATACTATGGAATAATAATAGTGTATCTGAATATAAGCTAAATTAGTAAATAAAAAACCAAATAAATGTATTATAATGGGAAATAATTTCACAGATTATAATTGAAAATAATATCCTGAAATATTAAAGTAAATATCATTCTTTTAAAAAGACAATTTTCATGAAACATATGAAACAAAACCAGAAGTAATTTCACAGATCTTAATTGTGAAATAATATCATGATCAATTTAATATATAAAATAAGGTAAATGAAACACAGGTACAGGTAAAAGTGAGTGGTTTTCAGATCTCAGTACAAAAAAAGTAGAGGTAGAAATATAGTTGCATTACTACAGTAAACATTAATGCCCCCATTCAAATGCATTGATCGTCCAAAAAAGGGGGTCCAACCCCCGGAACCCTACCCCTGGATCCGCCACTGGATCTGCATACCTGAACGATGTGTTATCTGCAAAAAGTCTGCATAGAGAAAAAAGTGTTTCCGCAATATCATTAATGTAAATTATAAGAACAGAGATGTAGTTGTTATTAATGTGGAAACCAGATGAATCATAGCATAACAATATATAGGAACAAAAACAATTGTCAACAGCCGGATAGTATTTACCTGTGAAATAATTTCTGTCTTATGTTTTAAGTCATCTTTTTATAAAAAATAATATGTAAAATTAAGAATGAAGGAAAATTTCACTATGAAATAGATTCCGGAATATTATATCTTTAAAATATAAATGGCGCATAATTACCTCCCTTTGATTGATAAATTATGCAAATATTTTCTACCTTTGTGAACCATTTATAATTATGGTCAGGTATATATTGATTGCGAATACCTTACTGAAAAAGTAGACAATTGGACTCTATTTCACAAGGTTCTGTGAAATATGGAACGGAAAATGTATACTAGTAATGTAATGACAGAGGAAGAAATAAACCGTTACAATTACAGTAGTTACTACTTAGACCACTCGGCCACCAAGGCCCATAAACTGTTAGGACCATAACCCCCAAAATCAATCCCAACCTTCCTATTGTGTTTAAATGTCATAGATTTCTATTTACTTATACTAAAGTTATTGTCTAGAAACTAAATCTATTTGGACTACGCTGACAACGACGACATTGATGACGACGACGCTGAAGACTTCGACGACGACGATGTGATACAAATGTTTTTTGCGCTCGTATAAAAACAAAGAACACCGAACACCAAACGGCGCACAAACAAACGGCAGCGAACAAATATCTTCACATAAACCTCAACAATTCAGAGAGGCAAACCCCACCAATTGAATGCAATTTAAACATTTTCTTATTAAACTTGTTGTTTGAATTTATGTGATTTTTTAAAGTAGGAATATGAGGTAGCAAATGTTTGCTAAATAAATGAATGATAAGAATGAATTAAAACACACAAATCCTCTAGCGTCTATTTAAATCCTGCATTACAAGGATATATATTTAGCAGGGAATTTCCAATAGATAAATACGTCACTCTATTTGACATAATTGTAAAGAAATCATTACCATAAAGAAATCACTTTAAAAATTATGTTTAACAGAAATGCTGTACTTTAACGACCGATTAATATATTTATATATCCATATTTTTCTGCTATGTATATATACTTTCAAGAAAGGATAAAGTGTTGAAGTTTGTATAAAATGTGACATTATTCTACAACCAAGCAAACAGGGCACACCCATACCAATATTTCTTGATAGGATCCGAAAATTATTTAATGCCTCTATAAATAAATGTTGGTGTGTTTATAGGCTGAAATTAAACCCAAGAAAGAGAAACCTGTAAACGTGCATGCGGTAGCAAATATTTGCCCTACTTAATAAATATATAAGCATGAATTCAAAATACACAAACCTGACTGCGTCCATTTGAATACTGCGTTCAAAGATATATTTTTAGAACGTGATTTTCCAAAAAAAAAATGTGTCACTGCTTTTGACACAATTGTAATGAAATCATTTTAAATAAAAGAATCGTTTGTAATTGAATTGCCGTTTGCTTTAACTGATCAATATTGCTGTATATTCTTATCTATTTAGGGTACAGTAGCAAGGGCAGATAATAATGCATCCGGGGATCCATATGTAACGCGTTATTTTTGCAAAGTTACCTAAATTTTCGGAAAAAAATAATTGACCTCATCAAATCCGGTACGTGAATTTGAAAACTATTTGCAAAGGAAAACGTTTTGTATTTTTAAGAATGCGAAATCTATTACAAGGACATAAGGTTCTAGGCAAATGAAGACCGTTTACTTTTCAATGATCAATATATTCGTATATGAAAGTAATTCGTATATCGGTTTGGTGTAAGGCGGCAATAGCTGCACAATTATGTTGCATTAACACTCTTGCTGCCTAGTTTATTCCTTGCTTTAACGCGCCAAAAGCATCCAGACGGTTCAAAAGGCCTAAGATGAAGGGCGGGACATTTAGATTAGACTGGGAAAAGATGATATCCTCGTGGGGGGGGGGGGGGGGGGGGGGCACTCTAATCTTTCTTTGGTTGGGGTGAGCAGCTGAGACATCAAGTACCCCACCCTTTTCATATATTTTGTTCATAAAAAATATATACCTTATCATATATCAATCAACAAAAAACAGACCTATAGATATATTTGGATATTTTTCATCTTCTGCTATATTAGTATAGCAATTTTTTTTTGGTCCGGCTCATCACGTTCATGTTTAGTAGCAACACAGTCACAATAATCACAACTTGCTTTTCCAATAAATTCGTCACATCTTAAACATTTTCCTCTATTTACCCCTTTTATGTCTTTCATTATGAAAAAAAAATAAAATTTCAATAGAATAATTGAATAATGGTAATCATGTTTCATGTATACAAACCTTTGAATGTTAAATAGGTGCAAATGTCAAAATAATCGGATTTTTAGCATCTATAACTAGCATCAGAGGAAATACCACATTGGAAGATAAATAGAGATTAATTGAAGTGACAAATAGCTGATGCATTTACGACTGTGGTTTGACCGCATCAAAAATAAATACTGACATCTGATTAGTTTCAGATACTTATGATATAATCAAGCAAATGATAATATCAACCTAATGATATAATAATCTAAATTTCTCACCCTTTTCATATATTATGGAGCATGAAATAGTGACCTATTCCAGCGGTTCATCCCTACCACTCATTACATAGTAAGTGCCCCGTAGCTGGTTCCTTACCGTCTACGTTTTGTAAGCAGGCGGAAATGGTTTTTTATTCAATTTTTGTCTTGGACTTATGACAACTAGGGGTAAATTCAGTAAATAAATATACGTCATCAGGGACCGCCCATTTGGGGGAGAGCTTTCTGTATAAAACTGAAGTCATGTGCTCTTCTAATTGGTAGATAATGTTTGTAATAAATATTTTTTGATAGATGGATAAA